TGATTTTTATCACTGTTTGGCAGGCATCATCTAAATTACCTTCTGTGTTCTAGTATTATCTGTATTGGCCAACATAATGATACTTGAAAGTTGTTATTTTTTCTGAAAAAAAAGTTAGTTCTATTTAGTTTAGCACATACGCTATAATAACTAAACCAATGAGAAAAGTTCACATTTATAAAATTTTATCAACCTCTCTTCTTACGATAAATTTTAGTTGATATCATATATATGCTGATTTCTTTGTGTCATAAATATTAAAATATATTCATTACCTGTGAAATACAAACTCCTTTAAATCAGTTTTTGGTATTGCTACGTGGCCAAGTGACAAGCGCGAAGTCGTCTCTTCGTGTCCGATATGATTTCAAGTTAAGAATTATTGTGGTCTTGATAAACGCAGTCGCAGCTGTTTAAGATGGTTTTGTTACATATTTTTATATTACCGAGACCTTATCTCGCTGAAAACCGCGTCCGTGATACTGAGTTCTTTTTCAGGCCAATGCAAGGTCCTTGAAATGTTGCTTTTACACATCATAAGGAAGCAGTCCTGCCTCAACGTATAGGTTTTATTTTTCTTCTTCAAAATAGTTTAGTCTTCAAATAGTTGTTGTTATCATATCCAATAGAGCTTTTTTTGTGCTCACGGACTTCTATGATTTTTATCTCAACTCGAAGATTGTATGTTGATCAAAATTATAGCTTTAGTTCACAACACTATCACCAGATGACACCCCATTTCGGATACTCAAAGAATAATTATTGGTTTAGTTTTATTGATTGTTAAGTATTCAGGTATTTAACAATTATGTTGAAAATACAACAAAATAGATAAAGAAGAATAAATTGCTGTATCATGTTTGTTTTGTTTTTAAGAGTATTAGTATATGTATAAACAGTGGTGTGGTGCTAAATAAAAAAGTTCCGGAACGCGAAATCTACTGCATAACTGCGTAACGTTCAATTCGTTTGAACTAGTGAGGGCACGGTGTTGATTAAAAAAAAGCACCGTATTACTCGCGTAATAGTCGACCCATGATTTTGTACCACGAAATTTAATTATTCATATATCTCCTGTAAAAGTCGACCTAATTTTTCCGGCAATAATTATTTATTTTATCTAATCTAACCTTAACTAACTTAAAAAGTTTCCTATTTTTCATTTTAGTTACTTCTAATAAAATAAAAAAAGAATACACATGAAAAACAAGAAATGAAGTGCTTACCTTGGTCCATTTTTTATATATTTTGCTGTCGACGACACTTAACCCGACTTTTTATATTAATGGTACTACTGCACGACATAATTTTTTGTTTAATTAAGTAATTCTCCATAAACACAAAGTAATAACATGCAAAAACCAGAATATGTCCTAAAACTATCACATTTTTTTTGGCTTTCTAACTATGCGGCAAGAGTCGTTAGTAATTCAGCCAAACTCATCCATATGTTTCAGTGGGAATATTTTAGTTTTCGTGTTTACCTTATATTGTAAATAATAAAATTAAAGTTGCTCTTGTGTTGTTTATTGTATCTTATATTAATTGGATTTTTGTTGCATGCATTTCAAGCTCTCGAAAATATTACTTGTGTAAAAGTCGACCCCTAAATTATAGCCTAAAAAATTGGTCACAAAAATTCGACTATTAACTGGGGAAAAGGCACTGATTCCGCTTGATTATTTTCCTTCTCACAGTAGAAATACTTAACGAAACTGCATAAATCATAGAAAA